TGGGATCCTGGAATGGATGCTGGGATGCTGGGATGGATGCTGGGATGCTGGGATGCTGGAATAGATGCTGGGAGGCTGGGATGCTGGGATCCTGGAATGGATGCTGGGATGCTGGGATGGATGCTGGGATGCTGGGATGCAGGGATGTAGGGATGCTGGCAGGGATGCAGGGATGCTGGGATGCTGGGATGCTGGAATAGATGCTGGGAGGCTGGGATGCTGGGATGCAGGGATGCAGGAATGCAGGGATGCTGGGATGCAGGGATGCTGGGATGCTGGGATGCAGGGATGCAGGGATGCTGGGATGCTGGGATGCTGGAATAGATGCTGGGAGGCTGGGATGCTGGGATGCTGGGATCCTGGAATGGATGCTGGGATGGATGCTGGGATGCTGGGATGCAGGGATGTAGGGATGCTGGGATGGATGCAGGGATGCTGGGATGCTGGGATGAATGCTGGGATGCTGGAATGGATGCTGGGATGCTGGGATGCAGGGATGTAGGGATGCTGGGATGGATGCTGGGATGCTGGGATGCTGGGATGGATGCTGGGATGCTGGAATGGATGCTGGGATGACAACAAACCCGGTGATGACGTTTAACCAGCTGCACGTGTCTGCTGCTACGCATACATGCTACCCCCTCCCCTCCTACCCCCCCCCCCTCGTTGCCCCCCCCCACTACCAGTGCGTGCTCACCCACACGGAAAGCACATTCACAACAACGGCAGTAGCAGCAGCAGCAGGGAGAGCGGACGACAGGGGGAAGGGGGAAGGGAGGAGGGGGTGGAGGACAGCAGAAGAGGGAGATGGGGGGAAGAGAGGGAGAGGGAGAAGGAGGAGTAGGATGAAGGACAGCAGCTGTCATGCGATGAGTTTGATGAGCAGTTTCCTGCTCAGGGGAAGGCTGCGGAGACAAGCGGACAGCAGTGAGAACAGACACACAGATCTGTCTGTTGACAGTTGGCAGACCATCGCCCTGGCTCCCCCTAAACACACACGCCCGCACACGCCCACGCACGCACGCACACACGCACCCACACACTAACGCCCGCACATGCCCACGCATGCACACGCACGCACGCACACACACACACACCCACACACACGCACGCACATACACCACACAGTATCACCCCTCTCCCTAAACACAGAGGGAGGGAGGAGAGAGAGAGAGAGAGAGAGAGAGAGAGAGCGAGCGAGAGAGGAAGAGAAGGAGAAAGCTAGCGGATGCACGCATGTGAAAGGCTCTCTCTGTGTGTGTCTGTGTGTGCTGAGTGCGCTCGCTGCCTCTCCGCTATGTATGGTATGCGTACTACTGCCTGCGCTGCAGCCGTTACCTTGCACTTGTGCCCGCAGTAGTGCCAGCACCTGCTGTATGCTTACACTGCGAGACCTTGCAACCCACGTCAGGCTGTGAGGCTATAATTGGAAGTTAAAAGTTAAAGGGGGTTTTCCTGTCTACAGGCCGTCTGGATAGCGTAACGCGTGTGTGCGCGCGCGCGTGCGTGCGTGCGTGCGTGCGTGTGTGTGGGCGACTGGGCGTGTGTGGGCGTTAGTGTGTGCGTGCGTGTGCGCGTGCTTGCGTTCCCTCCCTCCCTCCCTTCCCTCCCTCCCTCCCTCCCTCCCTCCCTCCCTCCCTCCTCCCTCCCTCCCTCCCTCCCTCCCTCCCTCCATCCCTGTCTGACCTAACCCTAACCCTAACTCAGTGTGTCGAGCTAGTCCAGTTGCATACACAATACACATCATCAATCATTGTACAGGTCAGTTGTAGGGCATGCATCTATACAGAGAAATTGCTCCGACTTGTGATTGGAGGATAAAAATAGAATTCGTAACGTTTCGTTTTCATTTTGGCATTTAGCCTATGACTCAAGTACGAGCGATACCGCGCATACACATTTGCTAATTAATTAAGCTAATCGCCCTTCAATAAACTCAAGACTCACAGGGATCATATCTAAGACATGTGTCTATAATAGCTAGAATTTATAGCAATGTAACTCATAGATACTATAATGTAACCCAACAAGAGTAGGGTTACAATGCAAGCCAATTCTTTTCTTTGGAGTAGCCCCCCCGAGTGATTCACTCAGGGCGGTTTTATGGTGCGTTTTTCGAGACTAGAACTTCCAAATTGGGTTTATTCTAAACACAAACCATTCTCCGCTATCCTGGAACTTACTATGTATCACAATACTCTGCAGGGTGCTACAAAAAAAAATAGTGGGTTATGAAACTGGTTGCCCGAAGGTAGGAGTCACTTGCCCGAAAAACAAAGAAATACATAAGATTTTTTTCTAATATGAATTTAAATGGTAAATAACGTAAATGAAGGTCCAACTAGTCAACATCCAACATTTCACTTAAAGTGATTACGTCACCGTAAAAAGTAAAAAAAAATATTTCCACTTTTTCACAAAATCTAAGTAATTCTGTTCACTTTTTATGGTTAAATTGCTGCATTATACTTCCTATTTTACTATATTGTTCGATGTAAACATACACTCGTGACTCATACATAGCCCATAGCAAGCAATTAATGTCAGGATAATAATATCAATTCATCCAGGTTTTTTAGATTTTTAACTAGTTGAGAAACAATCTTATCATGTAAGAACTTGACGATACATTAAGTCCCGTTAGTACTTGCTTTTTATATAAAAAAATGGCAACAAAAATTTTAAAAATATACACCATACAAAATTTGTGACGTAGAACGGCACGGTAGAAAGTTGAACAGCTGATGCACGAGTTTGTGTACAAAATATATTCATGTTGGGACACAGCACGCAGTTTGTTTTAATTTTTAAATTGTTTAAGTGTCAGTTTATTATTAAAAACCCACCACACTCACAATAAATTAATAAAATATGTTCAAGTTTATTTGGGGCTGGATCATAAGCGCAGAGAATATAGCGGTGCATGCATGCAGATAATTGACTGACAGCACGGTATACAGAGTATCTGTTTTTGTGTACTTCAGCAAAAAAAATCCTCGTTCACAGGTTGCAGTAGAGGGGCTAACATTTGAAGTAGCTGATCACGTAATGACCATGCCTGGTCTGGGGGCCGGGTTTACATGTTGCTGTATGCATGTTGTGTATAATATTATGAGTGTTGCACTGATTGATTGTGTTTTTTTCATTCAAATCTCCTTGCAGCAAGGCAGCGCGATGTTGTCTCTATGCAAAACAATGCAAGGGACGGGTGTAAACAGAAAAATATCATTATGTCTAGACATTCAATAAAAAAAATGTGCTTGCCCGACCGTGCAAGTGCAATTTCAAGCTAAATTTCGAAGTGACGAGCGGCGATATTTCAAGCGCCATTTCTGTTGACATGTGACGTACGCATTCCCAATGCGCATAGCATTCGGCTAACTTCGGCTCCTGTGTTGCCTGACATGCTGGCTCTGGTGGCGTCATGACTGACAGCAGTCATCCCATGATGCATTCGATCTTGGAGCCAAAATTTTGTAACAGGTTATATTAGTTTAATACAGAGTATTGTGATACATAGTAAGTCCCAGGATAGCGGAAAAAGGTTCGTGTTTAGAATAAACCCAGTTTGGAAGTTCTTGTCTCGAAAAACGCACCATAAAACCACCCTGAGTGAATCACTCAGGGCTCCTCCAAAGAAAAGAATAGGCTCGCGTTGTAACCCTACTCTTGTTGGGTTACATTATTGTATCTATGTAACTCTAATCGTTCGGGCCATATGATAGTTAGTACACTTTCCTACCGGCCATAGCCGCGCGTATATTCGCCTATGAGCAATACCGCGCGTGTATATTTGTTAATTAATTAGACTAATCGCGCTTCAATAGACTCAAAATTCACAGACATGTGTCTATAATACTAGAGTTTAGAATTTATAGAAATGTAACTCAAATCGTTTGTGCCATATGATAGCTCTAGTACTATAGCCCGCTTACATTAACTGCCGCTGGTTAAGCTGGTTAGCTGCCAGCGGCAGTTAATGTAAGCGGGCTATAATACTAGAGCTAGCCATATGATAGCTCCAAGAAACGGCATTGCTAGGGTTAGAACAATGTATAGAATGTTAGAACATGTATAGACAATCCGTCGCACAGCCTGGTCCTTAAGTTACTATAAACACTAAAATTAAACAGCAAACTATCGCTTAAATATTGTACTTGCGATATTACTCGTCGACGAAGATTGTTTATCAACTTGTAACCGCCATTTCTCGTTGCGCACGCTCAATATAACCCTCACCAAAATATAAAAAGGGACAGAATTATTCGGTTACTAGAGCTATTGAGTATTGTAGTAATGTAGGGCCAAGTTTAGTTTCAAGTTGAAGTTAATTACTTTAGTTTAGTCATAGTCAAGCTGACCTTTTGAGTTAAGCGGTAAACCGCGACACGACTACACAACTGTACGGGTGCGTATGTATCACAACAACAGATTTATACACATGATAGATACACTATATTTCCTATTCTATATCTATGATACACATAACCATAAGAATGCATACCATACTCGTAAACAACGGAAGCGAGCACAGACAGGAAGCTACTACAAAGTTGGTATGCGACCAGTTACCCATCGTACAATGCCTTAACGTTATACGACCAAGAGCACTGGATCATAGAAATAGAATAGAGACTTCTATTCTAGTTCTATGCACTGGATATGTCTCCACTACGGTTGGCCATCATACTCATAAATAATCATTTTTATCGCGGTAAAATTATTCCCTTATTGACCAATTATAAGCACATCATTTAACTGTGGTTAAATTATTACTTTTTACCCAGCGAGACGAGCGCCGGCCATTCCTATAACATTAACATTAACATAAGTGGAGGATGCTGCGAGCAAAGTGAACGCTTTAGATAAGATTCTACTATGCAAATGAAATCTGTCGCGGTCCCACCCATGTCCATATATGACCTCCCGGTCCCATCCATGTCCGCGGTCCCCACCACAGTCCATTTTGAGCGCGTTAGAGTAGCCGAAGAAAATTATCTTGATGATGATGATGCCGATGCACATGATGATGCTGATGACGATGCTTATGATGATGCTGATGAGGATGCCGATGACAATGACGATGCCGATTCCGATGCTGATGACGATACCAATGACGATGCCAATGATGATGGTGCCCATAGATATCCAATAAACAAGTGTGTTGAAGTGGTTTATATGGTTTATGGGATATCTATGATGATACCGATGATGACGACACACACAAACGCGTACACACGTACCACTGATCTCTATTATACTAACTAGTTAGTATAATAGAGATCAGTGACACACACACACGCACGCACGCACGCACGCACGCACGCACGCACG